TTTTGATTTGGAATAGAATGCGTAGTGTTTCCAATGCATTTGTGTGTATGGAAATAAAAGCTATTAGAAGGATTTTGAGCTTCATTCACTTTTTTCAACACACTGCTATTATTTTGAACACAACTGTATATATTGAACATTCCCATCAGTCCCTAACCCTCAAGGGGTATACAATCTAAGGTCCCTAACTCACATTCATACACATATTAGGGCCAATTTAGACAGGATCCAATTAACCTACCAGCATGTCTTTGGAGTGTGGGAAGAAACCAGAGCACCCGGAGAAAACCCACACAAGTACTGGGAGAACATGCAAACTCCATGCAGGAGGCACCATGGTCAGGAATTGAACCCATGACCCATTTATTGCAAGGTAGACGTGCTAACCAGTAAGCCACTGTGCAGGTGCTTACTGGTTAGCCATCAGCAGGTCGTTTTCTGTACTTGAAGTGTTACTAAACCCAGGACCCTGCATTAACTATATCCAGTCTCCCACAGTACACAGAATATGGAAATGCAATTATTTTAGTAAATATAAACTGCTAAATACCTTTTCTCATCAGCAGTTAGAGTAGTCTTGTGAGTTCTATCGGTGTCCTGGCCGAGCACTGGTTATTCTTGTAGGAGGATTTTTCATTCTCCTCTGACTGTCCTATGAGGCTGCATGACCCCTGACCCTCTGTCCAGACAGTGTTGATTGGCCCTGTGCCAATCACATGCACCCTCTCAAAAAAACAAAAAAAAAAAAAACTTTCTAGCAATACACACCAAACACAGCATGTGCAGATTTTCCTGTGCTGCTCTGTACTATGGATTGGGAACAATAGAAGAAGGGGAGGATCACAGAAGACAAGATCAAACAGCCTTTCTTTACAATGCAGAGGATTAACCACAGTGAGTATATCAAGCATGATTTACTGTATATACAGACTGATTTTATTGTTATGAGTTTCATAACACTTTAAAAGTTTTGTAATCCCATGACACTTCAGGTATGGCAAGACAGATAAATATACAGTATCTCACAAATGTAAAATCAATATTCAGTATGCACAAATGGCCGCCCAACACATTTTAACACCACCCTGAATGATGTCCGCTCTTAGCATACGAGTAAGAGTTTCCAGATGTGGGTTTAAAGTGTGTTTCAGAAATTTTTTCTTCATCTGATCAAAAACTCAATAAAATCTATTTTGAATAAAGTTGCCAACCACTAATTTGCTAAATATTTTTCTGAATATCATGGATCCAGGGACTCATATTTGGCATTGAAGCTATCTCGGATATATGGGATTGAAGCTAGAGATCTTAGAGTTAAACACAAAAGGTTATGTGACCGAGAGACACTCTGGACATACATGCTTAATAGTCAGACTCCTCAGGGGCTGAATGAAGGTCTTGATCTCAGTATGGTTATTTAGTTTATTATTTCTACTGTGCTGATTCAATAAGACCTTTATGGCAGCTTAACTGCAGCATCCATATGGGAGTATGGGGCACTATGGAATAGAATTTATATTTGTGGATATTTGAATTTGCGATGTTACAATTTTAATGTTAGAATAGGGTCAAATGTACTGTGGAGATCTGGATATATAGAGAACAGAGATATACAAACCAAGTTAATATGATTATTATTATTTTTTATTATTATCATCATTATTGCCTTTACATCTTTATGTGATATATATATATATAGAAGCAGCAGGTGGAGAAGCAGCAGTACACTGATTTTCCCAGTAAATGGCTGTGTGGGGGCATGTCAGCAAAACTCTTATCATTGGAGAGCAAGCCGTTCTGCCAGCACAGCCAGAAAACTAACCATGCTGGGAATTATGTACTCTCATGGAAAGCAAGGTCAATTTGAAATAGAAAAGGGGAAATAAGAGATCAGCATGTTTTTTAACACAGTGGGCCCCTGCGTTACAATGGTAATTGCTAGTGGTATGTCTACGGATGGAGGATTAGGGAGAAAATACTTACCTTACTCCTTGTTCAGTCAGTCTCCATCCAGCACTGCAATCCACCCCCTTCCCACAAGCTCCACTGTAAACTTTGGCTGTCTCCAGTCAAACTCAATACTCCAAACACCAAAACGTATGATACAAGGTTAATGTCCCTGTATTGTACCTGTTCATGCCAAGGCTCCACCCACAAACTGAAGCTTTTGTAGAAGAGGAGACGACTGGAGCTGGCCGGACTGGGGTATAAGGTTAGAGATACAACCTGTCCTGAAATCCCCTAGAAATAACAAGCAATTAGCCGTGTAGTGTGAGCGACCCCAGAAAAAAAAAGTGGATTTTTTTAGTTTCAAGGAGCTGGACTTTAACATTATAGCTTTGTCTAAAGATCTGTCTTCATAAATTGACAGACAAGCGTCCAACAAACCAAGGAACACGTAAGCCTTCCAGCCCAACAGCTAGAAAAGGAAAAAACTGCCAAGAAAACTGTGCCAAAACTTGAAATCAAGAGAGCAGATAGGAACTTGCTTTGAAGGCTGTCTATCTCCAAGAAGGTCAGCGACTCTACCCTTTGCCCCCTAGAAGGTCAGTGACTCTACCCTTTGCCCCCAAGAAGGTCAGTGACCCTACCCTTTGCCCCAAGAAGAGAGAGTGACCCTACCCTTTGCCCCTTTTAGGTCTCTTGGGACTTCCAAACCCCCTTTCTGCCTTACCCAATCTTGAACATTTACCTCCCACTAATGAGCAGTCACAAGGGGAGGGCAACTTTCTTATAAAGCCTTCCAGATGTGTTCAGCAGCCAGATCAGATCTAAGATAAACTAAAAAAAAAGAAAAATATCAGCTTCTAAGTTTTTGAAAGTAATCAACTGGATGGGTTGGAAAATATCTGACTCTTTCTAGTGGGTTTGTAGCATGTATAGTATCCACAGCATCTGAAACACAAAAGGTAATTGTTTTTATGAGTCTTTTTAACTATGCAGACCATACCACAGCTTACAAATCCAGCGAAGGCACAGTGCACATAGCCTGACATGCCAGTTTAATAGTGAGCTTTATCTTGCCTGGATTTCCCATTTAAACTGCCTCGCGCCCCCCCTACACAAACACATCACAGGCTGAAGGACACCTTTCTTATACTTGGAACACTTATTTATTCTGGAAGAATTGCTGCATGATTCATGGCCTTCTTCCTTTCCAACATTATGTCTATAGTAAATTCACCATTGTGTTTCATTAGAAACACCTTTTCAAAGCAGCATTTATACAATTAGCAACTGCTTTACTGAATCATAAATATACCAGATGGACATTTCTAGTTCATTTTTACATAAAGTACATTTGTGATTTTTACTAGTATTCCTAAAGCTGTATTAAACCCCAAACCAAAAATCTAATCCTGAGATGTGGTGTCTGCATTCGTTTCTTTTGTTTTGTTTGTTTTTTCCCCCCTCTATTTTCATCAGGAGATCCAGCCAGTAACACACTTCGACTCTGGATGGAGGAAAAATGGAGATATCCTTGGATAGCAGGATAGGGTAGTATAAAACTGGCCATACAGTAGTTGGATTGAATCTGGGTCGGTTCAGCAGGGATCGGCCAAGATTTATTTAATATTTGAGCAGGCTGCTTGTACTAAAGTCAATCCATCGTTTAACTTCAGTACAACCTGCCTGTCAAATTTTTTTCATGCAATCACTGATCATTGTGTTCTGTTAGCAGGGAAGGCTCCCCATCACCAGACACAATATTGCTGCGGGAAGGATTTCCCCAACAACATTGACTCTGTTGATGGGGGAATAAAGTGATTTTCTTTCTTTCCACCTGTATTGCATAATTTATTGGCTGCTTTAGTCTAGCAGATTTAGGTGGACTTGACTAACAAATTAAAGCTGAACTTTTTTTTGAAGTAACAATTTATAAGCAGTTACAGCAACCGCTTTTTTTTTTTCTTTTTGGGATAAAGGTTTAACATAAATGAATAAAAGCTGATCATTGTAAGTACCCCTGTCAGTGTTATATACTTTATCTCAACTCTCCAACTGCCACACTTTTGTCTGAACAGCTTGGACTGTTAAATGAAGTTGAAAAATAACAGACTCACTGGCTGGATCACCACGGGAAAATAAAGGAAAATGAGATACTTTCATTAAGAAGTGTTTTTTTTTTTTGTTTTTATATCTACTTCAGCTGCCAGCTTCAATAAGGGTGAGCTGTTCATTGTTTTCCAGATCATAAAAGGAAAGATATAGTGGAACCTGAAGCATAAAGCTTACCTGTATGGCCTTTCTGAAATATTTAATGTTACTTTTCATTCATCTTTAGCTGTGTTTGTTTTTGCATTTGCACAGAGAGGATCTGTGTGAGCTCTGATGTGACAAATCTCTGTTCCTTCCCCATGCCAACCTAACATATGAACAAACACAAATAGGATCATTGGTGACAAAGCTAACTTCCCATCCCCCTCACCTTACTTTCTACATACTCAAGTCATGCTGTTGTATGAAAAATAACATGTACTACAGAACAGAGTTGTGGTCAGGTATTCAAAATTCACTGGACACATCAAGCAAGTATTGGCAAGTCAAACTAGATTCATCCTGGTCATGGGTCAAGATCCGTATGTAAGATCGGTGTCTACTTAAATTGTACCTGAATCCAAAACAAATGTGTTATATTGCAGCTAACCAATTGTTAGATGCGTTGGCTACATTCGATTTTTTTAAGGCTTTTTTCTCTTTTTTTTTCACCTGGTGATCCAGCTAGGAAGTCTGTTATTTTTCAACTTCCTTTAACTAGCTGCCGACCGCAGATAGCCTAATGACGGCTGCACTGCGGCCGGCCAGTTCTGAGTGGACGTCATATGACGTCCTCCCAGAACGCGCTCTCCTGCGCGCCCCAGGGGGCGCGCACCCGGCGATCTCCATGATCGCTGTGTCCGTAGGACACAGCTGATCACGTGATGTGGTAAAAGGCCAATTACAGCGGTCTTTTACCACGTGATCAGCGGTGTCCAATGACACGCTGATCAGAGGGAAATGCAAGTGCCGGTTCTCGGCTGCACTTTCCTCACGCTGTCAGATCGTGAGGAAAGTACTGCCGAAGACCGGCAGTTGTCAGAGCGGGGATCGGCACCGATCATCAGGGCACTGATGATCAGTGCCCAGAGCCCAGCAGTGGCAAGCTCCGCCCACCTGTGCCCAGCAGTGCGAGCTCCGCCCACCTGTGCCCAGCAGTGCACCCACCTGTGCCCAGCAGTGCAAAGTGCACCCACCTGTGCCACTCTGCAGTGCCACCACCTGTGCCCAGAAATGCCACCTACCTGTGCCCAGCAGTGCCACCCTCCTGTGCCCACCCACCTGTGTCCAGCAGTGCCACCCACCTGTGCCCACCAGTGCCACCCACCTGTGCCCACCCACCTGTGCTGCCCACCAGTGCCACCCACCAGTGCAGCCCAGCAGTGCTGCCAGTCAGTGCCACCAGTCAGTGCCCAGGGGTTGTGCCAGTCAGTGCCGCCAGTCAGTGCCCAGCAGTGATGCCAGTCAGTGCCGTCTATCAGTACCCATCATCAGTGTCACCTATCAGTGCTGCATATTAGTGCCGCCTATCTGTGACACCTCATTAGTGCTGTCTATCAGTGCCGCCTATCCGTGCCACCTCATTAGTACTGCCTATCAGTGCCCTTTAGTGCTGCCTATCAGTGCCCATCAGTGCCGCCTATCAGTGCCCATCATCAGTGCTCTGCCTCATCAACGCACATCAGTGAAGGAGAAAAAATACCTGTTTGAAAAATTTTATAATAGAAACACAGAAAGTTTTTTTTTTTTTTTTAATTTTTTGCACTTGTTTTATTTATAGCGCAAAAAGTAAAGCGCCCAGTGGCGATTAAATACCACCAAAAGAAAGCTCTATTTGTGAGAAAAAAATGATCAAAATTTCATATGGGTACAATGTTGCATGACCGCGCAATTGTCAATCAAAGTGCGGCAGCGCTGAAAGCTGAAAATTGGCCTGGTAAATAAGGGGGTATAAGGGGGTATAAGTGCCTGGTAGGCAAGTGGTTAATAGACCAAGTTTTTCCAGCAAAAGTGTCAGTTAGAGGGTTAAAACAAACCATCGACCTCTGACACGCTGTAATATATTAAAATTTAGTTTTTGGGGGATTTTGATATGCTTAAAAGTGGAAAACTGCCAATATATGTACCCATATTAATGATACATTTCAGCATCACATTGACAGAATTAACCAAATACTTGCAATTAGGGATGTACTAATACCATTTTTTAATTGGCGAGTACGACTACCGATAGTTTTGATCAAGTACTCGCCGATACCAATACAGAGAACAAACTGCCTTCTGCTACAGCCAAATATTTCAAATGTTGACTCATCAGTCCAGAGCACCTGCTGCCATTTTTCTGCACCCCGGTTTCTATGTGTTCATGCACAGGACATGAAAACAAGGCTAAGTGACTAAAATATGCATAAAAACATAGGAACTGTGGTACAGGAATGGGCAGCAGGTTCTCTCTGGACTGACAAGTCAAAAATGTGAAATATTTGACTGTAGCAGGAGAGCAGTTTGTTGGTGAAGGTCTGGAGAGCGCTACAATAATGAATGTCTGCAGGCAACAGTGAAGCATGGTGAAGGTTCCTTGCAAATTTGAGGCTCCATTTCTGCAAATGGAGTTTTAGATTTGATCAGGATCAATGGTGTCCTCAATGCTAAGCAATACAGACAAATACTTATCCATCATGCCAAACATCAGGGAGGAGTGTGATTGGCCCCAAATTTATTCTGCAGCAGGACAACAACCCCAAACATACAGCAAATGTCATTAAGAACTATCTTCAGTGTAAAGAAGAACAACAAGTCTCAGAAATGATGGTTTGGCCCCCACAGAGCCCTGATCTCAACATCATGGAGTTTGTCTGGAGTTACATGAAGAGACAGAAGGATTTGAGGCCTACATCCACAGAAGATCTGTGGTTAGTTCTCCAAGATGTTTGGAATAACCTACCTGCTGATTTCCTTCAAAAACTGTGTGCAAGTGTACCTAGAAGAATTGATGCTGTCTTGAAGGGGAAAGGGTGGCCACACCAAATATGGGTTCAATATGGATTTCTCTCTGTTCATTTACTTTCTATTTTGTTAATTGATAAAAATTAAATATGAATGCTTCTGTTTGTGAAAGCATTTACATTTTACATTTTTTACACCTGCCTAAGACTTTTACAAAGTACTGTATTTCAGTTTTTTTTTTTAGTAGAATGGTTTGATAATGATAGAAATTGCTACAATGTGCAGGAAGCAAACAGCGGATTGTTAAAGGGAAACTTCACTCTCAATCAGCATTGTCTTTTTTAGTTCTTATTCTGCTAGTATTAGTAAATAGATAAGAAAGTTTTATCATATTTACTTGTTTTAAACTTTTTTTTTAATATTTCATCAGTTACTTCCTGGTTTTCAGGCCTAGGCAAGTGATGTCATACATCCCAGGAGTCTTCAGGAGTGGAGAAGGGGGGTTTTCTCAGCTAAGCACACCCCTGGGCTTAGGGCAGATTGATTCCAGGAAGTAAATACTACATGAATCATCTGCCATTACTCAAGATGGCCATGGCCAGAAATACTAGGGGGGTGTTTTCCAAAGTGATTTCTTATCAAAAATAATCATGGAGACATGGATGGATGGGTGAGGTTGCTTTGAATATTAAAAATTAATTAAATAGCGTTTTTGGCTTGTGGTGCCCAGATGTAGTGTAGTTATGCTTTAATCCTTTGAGGACCAAGGGATGTATTTGTCCCATGTTTTTAATTGCATGTATCATCTGATTAAGAACTTAAAACTCTTTTTTTTTTTTTGGTTTGAGTCAAAATTTTAGTTCTTATCAACAAACAACAAATGGATCTAGCTTTTTGCCAATTATTTCATGAAATGGCTTAGTTACAGCAACTGAAGTGTACGAACTTTAAAAACAAAAAAATTGATTCTTTTGGCGTTCCAAAATCTTACGGCCCTCAAAGGGTGGTGATGCATTTATTAAGCTGGTGATGCATTTGTAGAATTTTTCATTCAAACTTTTTTCTTTCAAGAACACTATCACGTGATTTATGAATGCTCACAAAACCGTGCGGTCAGATCAATATTTAGTTTTTCAACTATAATGACAAAAAAATTCTAAAGAGCAGAATGGAAGATTTTTCATGTGTGATTAAATTTCTAACAGTAAATGTAGTTTTTGTTTCATTCCGAAATCAAATATTACAAAGCAAGCACGATTTTGAACTATTTTCAAATGGCATTTGTCAAGTCATCTAATGTACTGGGAATTTTTGTATGAATGCTCACACAAACCTTTGTTTCTTCTTCTTTTCATTCTTCTTTTATTTTTTTAAAATCTACTAGTGTATGGCCAGCTTTACAATACCCAATCAACAAAGAATTAGTCATTGCAATACAAGAGCTATAAATAATCAATTTTTACAATATGCAGCCAATAAGTGGGCACTTCTTATGTTATATTATATTTTAGTGCTCAACATAATAATGAAAGGAAACCAGAATCTTCTTGTTCATGCTGCACCTTAATTTATATTAGAAGAATTGCTTTGTATTGTTATATGTCTTTTTATGTTTCCAATATCCATCAGATTTCACCTAAAAAGTTTTTCTTCTACATCTTCAACTGTCAAGAAGCATTTTTCACCATCATCTATCAAGATCAGAAAATTCTTTCAAGGATAGAGCGAACCGACTGTCATTGAGAGTCTGTGTCTGAGACAACTATATTCTACCTTCTGAATGTCTCTTGATGGGTTTACGAAATGTGTAGGAGCTTTGTTTGTTGATCAAGATTCTTGTTTCTTGTCTTTTTGTTTGATTTTTTTTTTCCATTCACAGGCAAGTAGGAAACTTCCATTTAGTCCATTTGTATGCTATAATTATCTTTACACTGTGCTGTGTGTAATCACCTGTAATTCTTTACTGTATTATATATAAACCCAAGAGAATTTTTTCGACATACATTTATACACTTATCCCTGCATTTAACTAATGCCTGGAAACCTTCAGCATAGAAAGATTTGTCAGTATGCCTGAACATCCTAGGACAGCCTGCTTCACTTCATCAATGATTGTGTTCACCATTCCCACAGAAAGATTTGTCTTTTGTGCAATTTCATGACAGGTTATGCGTCAATTATCCAAGATCAGGCATTCCTCTAAATGTTCACAGGATTGACTATTGTGGGCTGAGAACCACCACTTCCGGGATCATCACTGACGGACGGCCATCTTTGAAATGTTCACACCATTGAAATATCTTACCGCGACTGAGCGTCTCATCATCGTACTGTGCTTAAGTCTTCAGTAGATATCCACGGTTTTTACACCTTCATTCACAATAAACTTCATCACCAAACGCTGCACCCATTAACACTGTTGTCTGCCAGCTTGATTAATGGTCTCTGGGTTTTCCCCCAACATGTACGCAGTCTATTCATTTTGTGGTAGCACCCAGATATGGCAGAGTTCCACTTTAAACTGTAACATTTCTAACAGCATCTGCTTACAAGGTTTGCGGCTCACTTCCCCCCCCCCCTTATTTCCTGTGAGTGATATGGATCAACTAATAGCTAGTACTCTTATCTGCAGCTGCTAATCAAGGTTATTCTGTAGAGTTTAGAAAGCCTTTTGATAGTATAGTATAGAAAATGAAAGAAGAAATGTATGCATTGTGATGTAATTGTTAATATGTATACTGTGTGAGATGTTTTTCAACTCACTCGGCTTTGCAGGCATGAGCCCGGCTGAGTCAAACAGCGATGTTTCAATAAATCACTTGTTTTCCTCAGAAGTCTGTGTCCGGAGTTCTCTGGTTTGCCAAAATTTCTACTACACTTTTAGGACACTTACTGCTGCGTGTAATACCACCACGCTAGCATCCCTTTTTATACCTTTTTATACCTGTAAAATTAAATATCCCGGTTTGACTTAAACACCCCTCGTATATATTACAACTTACTAGTCCTTGAATGTGGTGGCTGCATTAGTTCTCTTATTTCAGTTTTTTTTCCTTTGTTATCCCCTGGGTGATCCTGCCAGTATAGGATGGTGAGGGGTGCTATAGTTCAAAGAGAGCTGGAAACAATACTGATTGATAACAATCAGAAAATACAGGAAACGATCTGCTCACAAGATTTCTGCCAGGGTCAATACTTATCAAACAAATATAACAAAACACCACTTTTGAAGACTTAAATGACAGACCAAAAGGGGTCACAGTAGAAAAGTTTACTGCAAAGATTTACATGCTTTAAGTAAGTAAGCTCATCTTTTCAGAAAAAAATGAAAAGGTGAACTAGCATAGCACACATCCCCCCATCTTCTGGTCCCCACTGTCCTTACCACC